GGATACAAAGCGTTCCCGGTAACACGATAGATACTCTGATAAAATATGAGGTGTATCGAAAATACGTAATACACTGAAAATACGACGTTGGACATGGCAATATAGACGGCGTTGTGGGTTATAACGAAAATAGTAAAATGACACCGCGATGTGGTATGTTTTGGTATTACAGTAATTATAAAATCAATACGTTTATAAATTCAATATGAAATTAAGAAAAATGAAACGTTCTCGACCGCACCGGTACGACAATTAAGTCCCTGCTGTCGGTCCTAATTCCGCACAAACGAGAAGTAGAATATCACTTTGGTTTAGTGATTATTAAAGCGGTAGTAAAAATGTGAACGATTTTATGACGATACCAAACGCTGTTTTAACGAACAAATACAAATAAACGTTTCTAACAGTTTCGATTGGTTAATAGTTTTTTTTTTTTTGTTTTTGAAAAATTCAAAGTGCGATTATCATACGAGATTCGTCGAAAATAATATCGCGATTTTAGAGGTGCTGAAAAAAAACGAAAATACAAAAAATCGACCCGATTGGACGTAAGCCAGAAAGCGTTCGCCGAACACACGCGTACGCACGCCATACGAGTGTAATGTACAAAACGGAAATCGGAAATCGTGGTCCGATTTCCCGTCGCGCACCGGTCCGGATTCCGGAAACGTGCGGGCGCGCTGACGTTTTCAAGAGGACGCGGTGTGCCCGGGCGTATTCAACGGTCGCGGGTCGGACCGACGGGTGACACGGCGAATTGACGTAGGTACAACACGGAGCGTGGACCGCGGCGTTTAGATTGGAATTGGAGTTTCGGACGGACGGGCGGCGAAATTACAAGCGGAAACTATTCTCGAGCGTCTTGTCAAACGAACGGGTCACGGCCGTGTTCGTATTCGTTTCCGACGGCGTTTCGGGGGGGGGAGGGGGGGAACGGTGACGCGGCGCTCCGTCGCCTTTAATTTTTCTCTGACGCCGGGGCGCCGAACCGCCGATTCGGACCCGGACGAGCGGCGTTAACCGTTTCACCGTGTCCTAAAAATATTTAAACGTTATTTTTTTTTTTTTTTTTTTGGCGAGCGGGCCGCTCCGGAGCCCCTCGATATTTCGCCGTCCCTGCCGCGATTGTTTCGCGGTGCGCATCACGCGGACGGCGCATTATTGCGATTGACGTTCGCCACCGACGGCGGAATTATCGTTTCGTATCGCCGGCGCGTGACGCGCGCGCGTAAAAAAAAACCGACCCGCGTAAAAAAATCCGACCCGCGCAGTGGAACGCGTTCGTCGCGAAACGATCGCGCGCGGGACGCGGCGTTTCTGTGACGGTTAACGGGTTCGGACCGCGCGCGCGCAAAAGCCACCGCGCTTAAAACGAAACGGAGCGCGCTCGCGGGTGCCGAGAACCGGCGGAAAATCGAGCGTACCCGCGCGCAACACGGAACAGTCGCGGACAGGCAACTGGAGCGGCCGGGAATTCTCGACGGGATGGCGTGTGGCGAACGAGAACCGATCGGAATAAACCGCGAAACCGTCTTCTCCGCGCGACTCGACTATATGGGTGTTGGCAATTTAAAAGCCTGGTTAGAAAAAAACAAAAAAAAAAAAAACAGTCGAACACATCGTTTCCCCGCGACTCGGCCGCTGCACACGCATTTCGATTGTTGCGTTTTACTCGTATTCGTCTGTATTTTCGAGGAGCCGACGGGATAGATTCAACGCGCGCCGCTGGCCGACAAGCACGAGAAAAATATAAAAAAAAAAAAAAAAACCGAAAAACCGACCTTCTCAACGCGCCGGAACTGGCCGTTTTTCAGGAAAATACGCCGCACTCGAAAATCGGAGCGAGATTTCCGGCGGAAAATTCGTTAACGCCAGACGGAAAAAAAACGAAAATGATTACACGTATATTTTTTTCGCGGGTGTTTTTTTCCGTCGGTTTTGTTACGACGGCGAACGAATCGATAAACAAACAACATTATATAATTTAACGTTTAAACGTTAAGGGGAAATTCCGAGGGAGACGCCGCAACGACGATGAGCTGTATTTTCATAAAAAAAAAAAAAAAATCAAAAAGAAAAGCTTCTGGAAGCATAATCATCGTAAAAAAAAAAAAATAAATGTTTATACATAATGCGATGATGAGTGACTATATATATATATATATATACTCGTATTATAAGGGTATTTTAAAATAAAAAACATCCGCAAAAGAGGGGTGCCGGCCGGCGAGTGTCGAAATTATAAAGAGGAATAATACTAAATAAAAAATAAAAATGACTTAAGGACATCATATTATTATATCGTTGAGAATAAAATAGAGAAAAAAAAAATCTGTTTTTTTTTTCACGCGATCGGTTTTAATGAAAAATCGAAAGCGTTTGCGACTGTATTTTCATATTTACCCGGAGAGAGTGAAAAAAAAAAATAAAAAAAAAATAAAAATAATAATAAATAAACAACAATGACGGCTGCGTTTAGGGAATTGAACTCGCTCCCCTCGATATAATATAATATGCATAATATATTTTATACTTTTTTTTTTTTTTTTCCCCCGCGTCTATACCAGTGTACATTTTTTTTTATCTTATTTACTTACGAGAGTAATATTGTATCGTTATCAATGTCATTTATTCTTTTGGAATGAAAAAAAAAAAAGAAAAAGAAAATTCTAATTTGAATAATCGCGTACTGTAATATTATCATAAGGAAATACGTATAGCATTAAAAATATTGACTTTTCGCCGTGATATCGTTTATTTTATCCCATCGAAACGCTAGTGGATAAAATAATAATGGGAAATCATGAAATGAATATAAGGGATCGAACGAATATAATATAAAAATGAAATTACACCCTCGCGTGTATCAATACCGAGTAAATTGAAAATCGGACTCCTCGCGATCAAATCTGGGCGAGTTAAACAAACGTTTTGGTTTAGGTCACGTTGAAAAATATCCAACCAAGCCGAGTTCGAGTAAATTTTGAAATATAAACGAAAATTTCAGTAGGAAAGCCGAGTAACGAATTTTCGGGGAAAACATAAGTATCTATATAGTAATATACGAGTCAAATTAAATGTAAAAAGTCGCTTTAAAAATAAAAAAAAACTGACGGATATACTTTTCACGATTTGCGGGCTTCTATTGTACGCGTGAGAAGTTAAGGAGGTAGAGGGGAAATTTTTTGTATGATATAAGTAGAGTTTGACTCTACTGATATATATATATACACACACAGAACGATTAATTGTTGCCAACGAAAAACGATTCCGTGCGGAGTCCGGTCCCGTACGCCACGAAAGGCCGTAATATTTGCGATTTGAATATAGTACATTTCGTAAATTTTCCCGCTTTCCCCTGTTTTTCTCATTCATTACGAAAACCGCCGAGACGATCAAAAAGTAATCTTCTCAATGTACCGTCCTAGTCAGATTTACTTTTAGAAAAATTACCATGGTCGAAAATCGAAGGAAAGTTTTCTGGTAGAAAAGTTGTTCACAGGGAAGCGCAAACGTTTTCAATAAACGTATCGCCGTAAAACCAATGTGTTCCACGCTCCGCTCAGCGTCTAAAATGGTATTTCGAAAACGTATTTTCTACTGTAATATTTATGCTTTTTTATTTTTTTTTTTTTTTTTTTTTTTTTTTTTTTATCAGATTATTTACTACAATAGAATAGTCTGGGTGCCTCGTAGGCCGCGCGCCCGACTTATTCGAGAAACGCGCGAAGTAAATCTAAACAAAATAATCAAGTTTAATTAAAATTATTTATTAAAAGGAATATAACCGCCAAGTTAATTTTAACATTTTATTTGTTTACTAGTTAAGTTTAATTAATTACACACACACACACACACACACACACACATATATATGTATAAAAAAAAAAAAACAATTATTAAACAATATAACTTGACTTTTTACTTTTAACTAGTTACTGCCCAGCTTTGTCAAATAGACTGCTGTCGTCTTAGATTTCCATTACGAGTGAAAATTCTAAAATCGCTTTTTGAAAGACCCGCGGTCGTTTATGCGTGAACGAAGTCGCGGCGCTTTCGGGCAAATTCCACCGGTGCCGGCCCGGCCGCGGCCGTTAGGTGTACCCGTTCGTGTTTGTGTTTGCGGGTCCCTCGGGGCCCCGAGATTTCGCTGTTTAAAACTTTAGTTTCAATTATCGCGGACTGCGGACTGCGCAACTTTAGATTGTCAACGGGCAGACGGGAATCCGGCATTCGCGGCACCGGCATTCGTTCGTAACCGTAATGCTCTCCGTCTGTCGTTGCGGCATTTTTAACGCGGGCCGCCTGCCGGAGACCGAAGGTGATTGGTGGTTTTAGCCGCGGAAATAACGACGGCGGAGAATAACGCGAACGCGGAATCGCAGGGCCGAAATTTTCTCGCAAAACAAAATGTCGGTAAAGCCCAATACTTCCCGAGACAACGGGCGTCTTACCGTGGACCGTCGCGCGTCCGCCGGCACCGCCGTTACCGTTGCGAAGTCGTTCCGAGGGCGTTCGGCCGCGACATTATCCGCCCGTGCTCGGGCAAAGCGTTCGCGATTACGGCGCCGTCGGATTCGGTTCGCGAGAGAACGCAACGGGTCCGAGCGTCGCGGCCGGCGCCTTCTCTCCCGCGCCGTTTTGTAACGCGCAGTCCCCGCGCGTTCGGCGTCGACTCCGGCCCGTTTCCGGCCGTCGATCGCGACGCGTTTCACCGTGCGCCGCGGCCCGGGCCCCGTGCACTCGCAGTCGGTCTCGCGGAACGTATTACGCGGTCGCGACCGTTTAAACGGTCGTCCGTCGTGGGGGCGCCCTGTACCCGTCCCGTACCCGGCTCCGTTAAGCTACGGTCTCCCTTGCGCGATCGCGAACGCGATCCGATCTAAGATCGCGCGACTACCGATACAGTGTAAATTAAATACAGTCGGTTCTCCTTGCGCGATCGCGGCGCGATTAATTTTGTTATTTCGAAAGAAAATTATGATATGAGTACATGACGTTCATTTATGTTTGACTGCTGGTTGACGTTGGTCGTGTCTTTCAACGATGAGTGCTCCAACGACCGAATTTAGCAAAGTAGAAGATGAAGTTATTGGTTTCCTTATAAAAAAAAAAAAAGTCGGATTTAAGGCTAGGTCGTCTCTTGTTAAATTTAAAACAAAATCAAACTGATTACGGTTCGTTCTAAAAAATTCTCGAAATTCGATTTCGTTATTTTTCAAATGACCGTTGATTAGTATTTCATAATAACCTTCCGTACTTCTCTTTGTGAACAATTGATCACGGCCTTTTCTTTCTTCTTCCGACAAATATAACAGCAAAACGTCATCGTCATCTCCTTCTTCAAAAAGAATTTTCAATGTATTTACGTCGTCAGGCGTATCCATTGTGGCTTAAAAATTCACAGTGCGTTCGTTTATACCGTCCACTAGAGTACTCCGCACGTCAAAATATTAAGTGCGACTGAACGATGAGTTATGAATTACTCTCGACCGCGGCGTAAAACCGTTCGGGATAAACCGAGACGATGCGAACGCGGTCGTCCAGTTCGTCGATCGCGTTCGCCGACCGCGCAACGGTNCNTTATTTTTCAAATGACCGTTGATTAGTATTTCATAATAACCTTCCGTACTTCTCTTTGTGAACAATTGATCACGGCCTTTTCTTTCTTCTTCCGACAAATATAACAGCAAAACGTCATCGTCATCTCCTTCTTCAAAAAGAATTTTCAATGTATTTACGTCGTCAGGCGTATCCATTGTGCTTTAAAAATTCACAGTGCGTTCGTTTATACCGTCCACTAGAGTACTTCGCACGTCAAAATATTAAGTGCGACTGAATGATGAGTTATGAATTACTCTCGACCGCGGCGTAAAACCGTTCGGGATAAACCGAGACGATGCGAACGCGGTCGTCCAGTTCGTCGATCGCGTTCGCCGACCGCGCAACGGTAACCGTACCGTTATTAAACGGACGGGGCGCCGAAACCGAAGACAAACGAGCGCGTAGAACATTTGAAAAAAAAAAAAAACACGCACAAAAGGTTAGGCGACACGATAACGGGCGTCGGACGTCGACCGCGACCCGCGGTTACCGGCAATTACTTATCCGCAACCGTGCGACGGACGAACTTGTCGGTTATCGGTTCGTCGCGAATGGTTATCGGGGAAAACCGTTGACGCTGCTCGGCGCCGTTTGCTCGCGGGCATTGCCCATTTCATCGTCGTTCCGGAAATCGCACACCCCCGCGTTTGTTATGCGCGCGTTCTTTTCGAATGACAATGGTATAGCACGTCGCAAACGCATAGTACCGAACAGTTTGAAGTGCGACGCTCGAAAACGTCAATTCCGCCACCGTGTCCGCTGCACGAGCCGAATAGAAAATTCTTATAGCTACGCATTTTTTTTTTTTTTTTTTTCGGTTTCTGACGTAAAAAAATAATTTTTCCGAAATGGTATTGTGGCGGCGATTATAGAAAACGGGTTAAGCGTTAGATCACGTAAAACCGTCGTGCACGGTCTAGGGGTTAAACACGCGAGATTAGTGCCGTTCTTATCAGTCTGCCGCCGGTAATAATCGGATTATTTGAACACCGTAGACACGAACGCATAATTAATATTTGAAAAGTAAACTATGCGTGCGGTATAGGTAGGAAAAAAAAAATAATAAAACAAATAGCGCGCTGTTTGCTGGTGGTGTAGAACTACTGTACTATCGGTGAAATAAAAAATAATAATAACAAGACGAAAAACGCACGCTTTTTTTTTTTTTTTTTTTTTAAGTAACAGTTTTAGTAGAACATTTTACGGCCGTCGCACCATAATATCGCGTGAATGTTAAACAATAGACATTCCAATAATTATGTTACCCGTTTACATATATTAATGTAAACCATTATGTTCACGAAATATTTTTTAGAATGTCGCACCGGCAATGTTAATTATTAGTAATGTTTTTTTTTTTTTTTTTTTGGAACCCGAGTTCAACGTGGCGACAATGTTTTGTGAGGACGTTCATTGTGACGTCCTTTGTAAATAATTTTAAACTGTCAATATACAATACTAAAGACGAATTGTGACGTACGATTGTGAAAAACGCCGGGGGCGGAGGACGATAGTTAAAACGTCCGAAAGGCGCATCCCTCACACTAACGCCATGTATACGTTACAAACTGTTATCCCCCTGGCTTCATTTGGAAGTATTTTGAGGTGTCGGACGCTAAAGAGAACCCGCGACGCCGGCAATTATGATAACATTTGTATTGATATTCGACCCAACTTTTATCAATATTCGATGAAACGACTGGAATACCCGGAGTTTGAACGCGTTCGGTTTATAAAAAGAACCCTTTAGCCTTTAGAGGTCGATTAAAGTGTGCAATAGTGGCGGGAAAAAGATACTTACACGTGTAAAAGCCTCGCGGTGAGCGAGCGCGTTGGGTGTTAAGGGTTCGAACCCCTTCCGCAAATCGGCTAGACTCGACGCACATTTTTATTCCGACTTTTGAACTCTCGCAAAAAGTCGAACGAGCCCCTGATCAATTGATTTCTATTATAATTTCGAACAAAACACGTTTACGTACAGCAATTGACTAAGATCAAACGCGACGGATGTTTAAAGCTCCGTCCACCCGCGGACCGCCCTTTCCTTCGTTCGCCCGCGTGACGGACACAATATCATACGCCGGTCTTTAATGTCGTGTGTAAAATTCGACAAAAAAAAAAAAAAAAAAAAAACGCAGGGAGGGGAAAAGAACACCTACAGTTACGTTCGGAAAACGAAATCTATTAACGTTTATTGTTATTACACCGTCACGCGACGAGAAAATTAAAAAAAAAAAAAAAAAAGGAAAAAAACACGCGAAATAATCTAAATGCGAAACACGGCTATTGTGCCGCATATTATTGTGTGTATCAAGCTTATAGTTTTCGGTCGAACGCGTTTTATTTCCACCACCACCACTCCCATCCAGCCAACCCTCCCACCCCCACCACATCGCCGTTCGCAATTCATTTCGATCGCAACACACGCGTACACGGTGTATACGGTGCCTATAGGTGGCGCGATGATAACAATATGATGACACGGCGTCTCTCGGACGTGCGCGAGGCCTCGGCCCGCAAGAGGACGGTTTATTATTGTTGTTTTTTTTTTTTTTTTTTTTTTCTCGGTCTCTCTCCGTTTTCCGCGCACGGTAAATTGGAAATTAACGCGCGGGCGTATATTTTATTATTGTTCGGCATTCGATTATTCAAAACAATTCCGCACGCGCACACACACGCGCGCGCGCACACACACGCGCGACGATATTATGCTGCCGTCGTCGCGCACAGCGGCATAATATTACCGGCGCGCCCGGGGAGGAAAAGGGGTTCGGCGAAATAATTTTAAATCGAGGCCGAAAGGGAGACTTTTTTTTTTCTTTTTTTTTTTTACATCGGCGTTAATGGAAAGTCCTGTAATAATTGATGATTCGGCGAATGTGCGCGCGCGCCTATACGTATATAAACATATACTCCGGGGGGTGGGGGGGGGAACGGTGGCGGCGGCGGCGCCGCGGACGCGGAAACGTCGGCGCGGGCGCGCGCCCGCTCCCGTCCGCGGCCGACCGCCGAAAACGTACGAAATATAATAAATGCGATAAACGCCGGTTCCTGCTGTGTTTTCTTTTTTCTTTTCGCCGCGCGCGGAGACGCCCCGGGAACGGGCCCGGCGACGCGTTACCGTCATATCGATCCCCGCGCCGTTATCGTTTCACGTTTACCCGCCGCGCCGTTATCGTTTTTCGCGTGTTCGCGGCTCGACGCGACGTTCCGTTCTCGCGGATACTCGCCCCCTCCCCTCCCCCCCCGTCCCTCGGCGCGCCTCCCGCAACGAAACGAAACGCGTGCCGCCGGTCGGCGGGTTCGGCGTTTCGGCGTTTGGCGAACGGCCGCGAGGAGGAAAACCGTCGGCGGACCGGCGAACGTTTACGGGGACGCGGTGCCGGTCCCGTTGTTTCCGGTTTTCGCCACTCATATGGGCGACGGCGAGACACGTTTTTACGGCCGGACTTTCGATCCAGCCGGCGAGCTCCGGTCGCGACGCACGTTACGGCCGAGCGGAACGAGCGCGGAAAACCGGGAAACCGTACGATACGCGTTATTTTCAAACCGTAAATATTGCGACCTTTTAAAACACGTATAATCGAACGCCGCTCAGAATCGTTTTTCGTTTGGCCAATATCAATCGTTGCGCACGTTAGATATACACGTTGATCGACCTTCTATATGCTACCTCTACGACTTCTCACCGACCATAGACGTGCGCGTACCTCGCTAACGGTTTCGCGTTCGTAAAGTCAGTACAATTATTATTAGTGATGGGAGTATTTTAACCGTTTACATCATTCATTTAATTACGAATTGAATAAAATAATAATTGAAATTTCACAATTTTCGGGAGAAAAATTTAGCTCACGTGAGGGGCAGCTGCTCACCCTACCCCCGCCGCCGTTCGCGCGCCTGTATCGCCTACAACAGTGGCCCACCGATCGCGCGAATTATATCCGTGTCTTTTTTCTCTTTTTTTTTTTTATATTCTGTGCGGTGAGCGAGGAATACATTGGTTTTACAATAACGGTCATTGTTATTCATTTTCATTTTTACGCGTACACTTTCTCTACCAGAAAGCTTATATCCGATTTACGAGTATGGCATATTTCCCGGAAGGAAATGATCTCTGGGCAATACATTAAAAAGATCGTATTTTTAAATTCTCATTAACATTCCGGATAATGTGGAAAATCTGCGGTTTTTTTTTTTTTTGGTTGAAAAAATATCGAAAGATTATAAATTGTCATCGGCGACCGTTTTCACTGATTTTTTTTTTTTTTTCGTTACCGTCAAGTTTTTATATCGTTTTAATGTTTTTCGAACAACCGTCGTTGTCGCGGAAACGCGTGTTGCCGAAAAACCGATACTGCGGACACGCGCCGCGCGAAAATGTCAAATAAATATCCGTTTCGACGCGTTCTGTTAACCGCGCACCACCTCTAAACCATGTTGTTGTTTCCGTTCTACGCTCGAGCGTCACACCGTTATCGGCTGCGCTCCGCGCGGAATCGCCGTTTCGCCGCCGACGGTTTATCGCCGCCGCTCACGGGGACGTTTACGTTGAACTCTCCGTGCTCCGCGGTCCCCGCCCCCCCGGCTTCCCGGCTTCCCGGCATTCGCCCGCCCGGCGACCGCGGTCTTTATTCCGTTCCCCGCCGATTCCGCGACAACAATTACGGCCGCGCGGTTGTACGATATTACGCCCGCGCGCGGTAGGCACCGTGCGCCGTTCATAATTCACGGTCCCGCGACGTGTCTCGCGGGTGCGTCGTTGCGTTTGTCCGGGGCGCGCGCGCCGCATAATTAATCGATTAATTAATTATAACGGCCGTTTCGAAATCGGAAAACCGCGTTTTCGCCCCCGGTCCCGGACGACGGCGGCGGCGGCGGCGGGCTTTGTCCGATTGTGCCGGCGTGAACGTCGGTCGCGCGCGTTGGATATTTTTAGCGGATGTTCGCCGCGAGTCGAACGAATGTTTTCGCGGACGCGTGCGCGTGACAATCGCGTGAGAGGGCCCGGCGGTTTGTCGTGCACGTACGCGATACCAGACCGAAAAACACTCCGGACGCGCTTCGCGCGGCGGGTGGGCCACGGTCGTTGGTTGGCGAGCGGTCGCGGGAAAAGGCGAGCGGAAATTCAACGCAGTACGTCCGTCGGCGACGG